GCACGCGCGCGCGCACACACACACACACGTATTACATATAACATATAATCTTGCCTTAGCTGTGATTTGATAAGGGAATCACATCAAATGCTTCTATCAACTTCCCATAAAATTGCAAACCATTAGGTGACTTAAGATTTCAGTAGATAAAAAAATTGCTCTTAGTATCAACCATAGTGTTTTGGTGTTTTCACTGTTCCAGAACATAACAGCAGCTACATTTAAAACTTTTCTAGCCCTTATAATACAGTCTGATAGCTTTGTCTTGTCAATATTATCTTTATTACCAACTAATTATATGATAGAAAACCCATCATGACAATGAACTTAAACTAATGAATTGCTATTACAATTTGACATTATTGCATTTTACTGCTTTCTCAATTGCTCTCATACCATTCATCAGCCAGAAGTATTTCAGTATTTTAACCAGCACATCATACCGGCGCATACTAAGTAAATCTTGGCCTTACTTGTAAAGCCTGGTTCATAATTCTCTGAGCCCAGAGCCTAACTCCCTCTTCCTGCAGACTCAAAAGTGCTTTTTGTAAGGCGTGAACAGGTTCTGAATTTTCCAGGAAGTGCAGATCCATGTAAAATGAGGGAAGCCTGCATCGCGTTTTGTTCAGAACTTGGCCAAAGATTGTCAACAAGTTCAGAAGAATCACATTCGCACGGCTCCTGGCAATTAGACACCAAGACCACGTGTTGGGAGCTGCCTGCGCTGCAGGTGTAAACATCGGGCTACCTCCTTGGGCTCTGGGGATAGGCATTCCCAATTGAAATGCACGTTATAAATGCCTGCCCTTTTATTTCTCCTTTCACTTACCCTTCGGACAATATGAGATGGTTTTTAAAATCGTGTGCAGGTGGGTTGGTTACATTATCCAGGAACTTTATTTCGGGAGAGCCAAGGGGACTTCCCCAGAGCTGACATTCAAGCCAGCACATGCACTGTGGTGGCCACGCAGGTGGTTTAAACACGAAAACATTCCATTGTGGATGATGAATCCATTGGCAGCTGGTCACGGCCATGCGTCCCCTATTGGTCCCCTATTGTTACCCTCCTGGCTCCCCCTGGCGCCTCCCGGGCCTCCCGCTGGCCCAGCAGCCAAGGGATTAACACTGGGCACAGGAGGAGGGAAGGGGTCTGCGTCCCAGATGCTGTTGGAGGGGACAGTGCTTTTCAAAGCTGTAAATAGTGTGTGCGGTGCCCTGGGCATTACAAAACGTGTGCTATGAAAAGTGAGACCTGTGATCAAATGCACCTTTATACACAACAGCCCCCAACTGGGGGCTAGTAACAGATAGTGCATCATCTAGACAAAGGCATACTCCTCCGCAATTAAAATAAAAAGGATGAACCGCTGATCCCATGCAAAAACAACTCTCAAAAGCATCACGCGAAGTAAAAGAAGCCAGACGCCAAAAGCGACATACCGAGTCCACTGTGAAACTCGAATCCTCAGTGACCCAGATCAGTGGTTGCCTGGGCCTGGGGGAGGAGGCCGGCAAGTCTGCAAAGGAGCTCGGGGAGGTCTGGGGTGGCGGGGACATGGGGACGTGATGTATTCACCAGTGTTTACATCTGTCAAACCTCATCCAATTGGGTGACCCAGATCAGTGGTGGCCTGGGCCTGGGGGGCGGAGGCCGGCAAGTCTGCAAAGGAGCGCGGGGAGGTCTGGGTTGGCGGGGACATGGGGACGGGATGTGGATTTTCACCAGTGTTTACATCTGTCAAACCTCATCCAATTGTCTCCTTTAATGGATGCAGTTTATTGTATGTAACTTATACCTCAACAAGGTTGACCCACAAAAAGTGTTGGGGGGGTTGGGGGGGGGTGCTACAGGCCTGGAAGCATTGATCTGTCGCCAGGAGAGAGAAAGCGGGGTCATGTCCCTGTGCTGCCTGACCCCCAGAATGCCACTCTGAGTCTGGAACCCAGGCCCAAGCTCATCCAGGGCCAGGACTCCCCAGCCAGGCTCCTGGGAAGGAGCAAGAGGGCTGCCCCAGTCCCTGGCCAGATAGCTCAGTTGGTTAGAGCGTAGTGGCCATGTGCCAAGGTTGTGGGATTGATCCCCGGTCAGGGCACCTGCAAGAATCAACCAATGAATGCATGAATACGTAGAACAACAAATCGATGTTTCTCTAAAATAATTTTTTTAAATATATTTTTTTATTGATTTCAGACAGGAAGAGGCATGTGCCCTGACCAGGAATTGAACCGTGACCTCCCGGTTCATAGGTCGACGCTCAACCACTGAGCAACACCAGCCGGGCTCTCTATAATCATTTTTTTTTTAAAACAGGGCTGTCCCAATAATAACAGAGGATTGAGCAATGGAAAAAGGGAGAGAGAGGTGAGTCTGGTCTAGGGAGTGGCCTCAAGGTGTGTGCTTTTTCTTCTCTTATGCAACCTTCACCTTTGGGTGTGGCATAACAGCCATTGTCACCGGAGTGAAAGGCAGCCCTGTTTGCCCAAGGTCCCATGGCTGGCAGGTAGCAGACAAGGGACCTGAACCAGCCTCCTGTAGCCAGGCAGTTCCTGTGTAGCTGGGGCCCAGTTCATTCATCCTGCAGACTGACTGGGTGCCCAGTATGCGCCAGGTCCTGTGCTGTGCTCTGGGCAGACAGCAGGGAACAGGCCTAAGGCCCCTCCCTCCGGGAGCGCACATTCTAGCAGGGACCAAGTCTGGAGCTACCTAAACCCCTGTCTACACCGAAGAGGCCTGAGATGGTTTCAGTCTTTTTTTTTTAAATATATATTTTATTGATTTTTTACAGAGAGAAAGAGAGTTAGAAACAACGCTGAGCGAGAAACATTGATCAGCTGCCTCCTGCACACTCCCTACTGGGGATGTGCCCACAGCCAAGGTACATGCCCTTGACCGGACTGGAACCTGGGACCCTTGAGTCCGCAGGCCGACGCTCAATCCACTGAGCCAAACCGGTTAGGGCGGTTTCAGTCTTTCTATATGACCTTAGATCATCGTTTTAGGCAAACTAGTGGCATGTACGCAGGTCATTTAAAAAATGGAACAGAAAAGGGTGGCTAAAGTAGTTTGGTGGAACTTGGCCCGGTTATATATCCTTTGTACACATACATATTGTGTATGTAGATAGTATATGTAATATATTGCATATGGAGGTATGTACCTCTTTAAACAGGCATCCCACATAATGTAAACTTAACTCATCCTCCAAAATACATTCAATAGAAAATTTGAGGATAAACAACAATTTTAAGCGGGAAAAATAATGCACTCATGTATGTAGATAGTATATGCAAAATATTGCATATATAGGTATGTACCTCTTTAAACAGGCATCCCACACAATGTAAACTTAATCCATCCTCCAAAAAAACATTCAGTAGAAAATTTGAGGATAAACAACAATTTTAAGTGGGGGAAATAATGCACTCGCTCCCAGCTTCCTCCAAAAACTCCACCACCAATTTCCCCAAATATTGACAAAACACTTAAATATTTCTGTAACAACCCACCAAGCACGGAAAAAAAAAACAACCAATTACTTAACTACCCGACACTAATAAACTCATTCATTGGCTCTGTTTGTATGCAATCTACAAGTTTGCACAGAATCAGATAGGAGTTAAATTACCACACGGCAATGATCACGAGAGTAAATGGAGGAAGAGAAGATGCTAAAGATAATCCAGATGCCAGCGACTGCACCGGGACTAGTCTGCCTCCAGGCGCTGGCAGCAGGCTGCACCGGGACCCGGGAGATAACATCAGAATGTGTAACTCGCTCCAGTCACACACAAGACGGGATCCTGTCGGAACAGGTGAGCAGCAGCCCGTGTCGCCCACATCCGGGACTCACCAGTTAACTGCCACGCGTCCAAAACGGAAACCATCGACTGCACTGGGACTGGTCTGCCTCCAGGCGCTGGCAGCAGGCTGCACCGGGACCCGGGAGATAACATCAGAATGTGTAACTCGCTCCAGTCACACACAAGACGGGATCCTGTCGGAACAGGTGAGCAGCAGCCCGTGTCGCCCACATCCGGGACTCACCAGTTAACTGCCACGCGTCCAAAACGGAAACCATCAGACGGGACTCACCAGTTAACTGCCACGCGTCCAAAACAGAAACCACCCCCAGGCGCCACGATATTTTGAATTTAATAAAAAAAAAAATCAATTTGCAATGAATATTATAAAAATAAATATATTACTCACAATTCAGGTATTCTTGAAAATTCTCCCGAAAAATGATTTAAAAGTTGGTCAGGGCTGCCACTTAGGGAAAATATTTTTTTACAGAGGCGCCTGGCATGTGGGGAAGGTCCGCCGCTTGCGTCCACAGACACTTATGGTGTACAATGGGCTACGAGTTGGACAGCAGGTTCTTTTATTTAAATAACAAATTTGGGGTTAAAAGAGCAAATCGTTACTGGGACTATTTGCAGTGAGAGTTCGGATATCAAGGGATACCCGCCTTCTTACGTAAGTGATCACAGGGACAAGTGAATTTCTTCCTATGAGATGCACAACATTTTTAACTGGAAGATAGTCTACATAGGAGACATGCACACCACTTAAGTGCACAGGTTCACTGATTTTTTCCAAACGTTCCCATCTGTGTGAGCATCACCCATATCAAGACGTGTCACACCGGCTGTATCACAGAAGGTTCCCTTGCGCCCTCTCCCGGTCCCCGAGCACCCGAAAGACCACCACCGCTGTTCCTCTATCCCAGCGGTTCTCAACCTGTGGGTCGCGACCCCTTTGGCGGTCGGACGACCCTTTCACAGGGGTCACCTAAGACCATCCTGTATATCAGATATTTACATGACGATTCACAACAGTAGCAACATGACAGTTATGAAGTAGCAACGAAAATAATTTTATGGTTGGGGGTCACAACATGAGGAACTGTATTTAAAGGGCCAGAAGGTTGAGAACCGCTGCTCTATCCTGTCTTAGGCCTTCATATAAATAGAACTATATAGTATGTACCGTTTCTGGCTTCTTTCACTCCACATATTATCTGTGAGATGCACCCACGTTGAGTACAGTTGACCTTGAACAACAGGGGTGTTCGGGGCCCCGACCCCCCATAAGTCAAACTTGATTTTCCCAGAACTTAAGTTGTCCCTCAGTATCCAGAGGACTGGTTCCAGGACCCCGTTGGATACGGAAATCCATGGACATTCAAGTCCCCTGTATGCATTGATCTAGTATAGGACATAGAGCAATGCATACAGTCAGCCCTCTGCATCCAGACTCCCAACAGATCAAAACAATACAGGTATTTATTTATTTTTTAAATCTACGTATAAGCGGACCTCCGCAATTCAAACCCGTGTTGTTCGAGGATCAACTGTGTACCAGTACTTGCTTTTTTTTGCCAAGCAGCCTTCAATCGCATAATGATCATTGTACCAGTTTATCCAAGGATTGGACCAGACTTCCTTCTGAATTTTGGCAATTATAAAGACAGCAGCTATAAACATTTGTACCCTGGTTTTTGTGTGAACAGAAGTTTTCATTTCTCTTGGGTGAATTCCCAGCAGTGGGGTTCCTGAGCTGTATGGGAACTGTATGTTTTATTTTGATAAGGTTGCCTTAGCCGCCCTGGCCAAGTAGCTCAGTTGGTTAGAGGGTTGTCCCGATAGGCCAAGGTTGTGGGTTTGATCCCCTGGTCAGGGTACAAATAAGAATCAACCAACGGCCCTAGCCGGTTTGGCTCAGTGGATAGGGCATTGGCCTGCGGACTGAAGGGTCCCAGGTTCAATTCTGGTCGAGGGCACATGCCCAGGTTGCAGGCTCGACCCCCCGTAGGGGCGTGTAGGAGGCAGCCAAGCAATGACTCTCATCATTGATGTTTCTATCTCTCTCTCCCTTTCCTTTTCTCTCTGAAATCAATAAAAATGTATTTTTTTAAAAAAAGAATCAACCAAGGAATGCATAAATAAGTGGAACAACAAATAGATGTTTCTCTCCCTCTCTAAAAATAAAGAAAAGACTGCCTAGCCACTTTCCAAAGTGACTGGACCATTCTGCACTGCCACCAGAAATGCATGGGCTCTGTCCAGCTGTGCCACATGCCCGACAGGACGTGGTGTGTGTTTGTTGCCATCCTGGTAGGCGTGCATGGCATCTCCTGGTGGTTGCCCATAGTGTTGACGAACAGACATTTCCCTGAAGTCCAACTTATCCTGTTTTTATTTTTTTAATATATTTTATTGATTTTTCACAGAGAGGAGGGGAGAGGGATAGAGAGCTAGAAACATCGATGAGAGAAACATCGATCAGCTGCCTCCTGCACACTCCCCACTGGGGATGTGCCCGCAACCAAGGTACATGCCCTTGACCGGAATCGAACCTGGGACCCTTGAGTCCGCAGGCCGACGCTCTATCCATTGAGCCAAACCGGTTAGGGCATATCCTGTTTGTTTTTTTATTCCTGTGTGGCTAGTGATTCTAGTCAAATTCTTAAAAACATCTGATTAGATACACTTGACAACTTTTTTTTCTTTTTGTTAATCCTCACCCAAGGATATATTTTCCATTGATTTTTAGAGAGTGGAAGGGAGGGGGAGAGACAGAGAGAAACATCCATTGGTTGCCTCCTGAATGCGCCTGAGGTATGTGCCCTTGACCGGAATCGAACCCGTGACCCTTCAGTCCATGGGACGGACGCTCTAACCACTGAGAAAACTGGTTAGGGCTTGGCAATGTTATTGCTAAAAAATGTCCTCTGGAGTGACAGCAGTGTTCGTCCTCAGTCTCCCCCTACCCAGAGTTCCCGGGACAGGGTGGAGTGTACCGTGGAGTCACAGCACCCACACACACCCACACCCACCAAAATACCAGCAAAGGAGCCAGCACACGTGGGAACATCCCATCAAAGAGGCCACAGTTCCACGCGGCGACCTGTGCCCTGTGCCACGCCCTGAGATGGGGGGCCAGGACGCCACTTCTCCATTTGCTGTTTCGTAACCTTGGGTGGGGGCAGGAGTTGAGATCAGGGAGGTTTGGGGAGACATTCACACCCACATACACGTATGTCCTAGCAGCAAAGCCTCACCGATCTGGGGCAGGGGAGGGAGGCTGGGCCCCTGGCTCCCCGGAGTGTACGGGCAGGGCCGCCAGAGCCCCGGCGTGTCCCTTTATCCATCTCGTGCGATTTGAATGTCCAAAGTGCCCCATCGGCAGGGAAGGTCCCGACTGGGCTTACATGACGGATTCCTTCTCAAAGCCGTCAGCATCCGCAGCAGGTCTCGGGTAGCTTTTGAGGAGGGGGTTCCCCTCCTCAATGGGGACGGGCATCGGATCCACACACGTCTTCACCTCGACCAGCTGGGGCACCGAGCTCGCAGGCTTTGTCCGATCCACGTAATGCTGGAGGAGGCCCGCCCCAAAGGCGTCGCCTTCCACGTTGAGGACGGTACAGGAACGGTCCCTGAAAGGGGAGGAGTGACGGGGACATGAGTGGGAGGGGTGGGGTCGAGGCCCAGCTCTCCCCCCTCTCTCCCGGGAATCACGAAGTCCCCATCACACCGCCCTACACAGAACCCTATGCTATGGCCCCGGGCCCCGGGCATCCCTCCACCCTCCAGGGTGCCAATGATCCCTCCTCCTAGAGCAGTGGTTCTCAACCTCCTGGCCCTTTAAATGCAGTTCCTCATGTTGTGACCCAACCATAAAATTATTTTCGTTGCTCCTTCATAACTGTCATGTTGCTACTGTTCTGAATCGTAATGTAAATATCTGATATGCAGGATGGTCTTAAGCGACCCCCGTGAAAGGGTCGTTCGACTGCCAAAGGGGTCGCGACCCACAGGTTGAGAACCGCTGTCCTAGCGCCTCAAAGCCCCCACCCCCCTCGCCTCTGGAATGCCAAAGTGTCCCATCATATTTCCTCTGCCTCTGAACCCCAAAGGTCTCCTCCTCTGTCCTCTCCAGATCCTATTGATCCTTCTTCCAATAAAATAAGATTTGTTCCTTCTGGAACCTCAAAGTCACCCCTCCTTCTCTTGGGGCCCCAGAAGACCCGCCACCTCCACCTCTCCTCTTCCCCCTGAAACACTGAGTTCTCCTTCAGGCCTTTCTCCTCCTTAGAATCCTAAGGATCATTTTCTTTCCTCTTTATGCTTTCTGTGTGCAGGCGACATTTTAGAAAATGGAGCTACAATTCACATATCATAAAATCACCCATTAAAAAGTGTACAGCCCAGCCCTGGCTGGTTTGGCTCAGTGGATAGAGCAGCCGTGGGCAAACTACGGCCCGTGGGCCGGATCCGGCCCGTTTGAAATGAATAAAACTAAAAAAAAAAAAAGACCATACCCTTTTATGTAATGATGTTTACTTTGAATTTATATTAGTTCACACAAACACTCCATCCATGCTTTTGTTCCGGCCCTCCGGGCCAGTTTAAGAACCCATCGTGGCCCTCGAGTCAAAAAGTTTGCCCACCCCTGAATTAGCTCAAAGAAATTTGTATTGAGGAAAATATAGCTCTTAATAAGCTCTTAAGACATGTGTCTTAGAAGTGGTCAAAGTCATAGACCCAGATCCTATTGCCAGACGTAATTTAACTCTGATTATTCAGGAAAAGGACTGAAAGCTTATAGAAAATGTCTAGCAGAAGAAGAGTGATTTTTACAGACCCATCCAAGCAGCATTCAGTCTTCTTCAGTCCACAAAAAAAAAGTATACAGCCCAGTGGTTTTTAGTATATTCAGAATTGTGCAACCATCACCACTATTTAATTCCAGAGTATTTTTACCACTCCAAAAATAACGCCCCACACCCATTAAGCAGCTATTCCCCCAGCCCTAGGCAGCCACTAATCTACTTTATATAGATTTGCCTATTCTGGGCATTTCATAGAAATGGAGTCATAGGCCATGTGGTCCTCTGAGTGTGGCTTCTCTCGCTCAGCATAATTGGCCCTCAGGGCCACCCATGAGGTAATATGGACGTATCAGTGCTCCATTCTGTAGTCCATTGGATGGGCAGGTGACATTTTGTCTCTCTCTTCACCAGCTGGTGGACATTTGGGTTGCTTCTACCTGTTCGCTTTTACGAATAGTGATTAATAGAATAACATACTATGAACATCTGTGTACAAGTCTTTGTGGAGATGTTTTCAAGTCTCTTGGGTATAAACCTAGGAGTGATACTGCTAAGACATATGGTAATTCTCTACCTAACTTGAAGCCAAACTGTTTCCAATCTTGTATGCTCTTAGTAGCTTAATACAGATAGCTACCAATTATGTCTGCAGCATTTACAACTTACTAGGGGCTCTCGTAAGCAAGTTGCGTTTAAGTCATCTGCTCTCAAGGAGGGACTATTCTCCCCATTTTACAGATGGAAAAACTGAGACAGAGAGTAAATACTAGCCCAAGGCCATACTAGCTGGCAGTGGTGGCGCTGGGATTTGAACACAAGCAGCCTGACCTAAGGGTCCACTCTATTACACATAAGCCCCAAGTCCCCTTCCTTCCTTCCCTCTGACCGGATGCTCAAGCTCCCATCCCCTTGCCTCTGAAACTCCTGCCTTCCTCTCCTCTTCTGCCCAGAGGCTCTCCATGACCCTCTTCCTCGTCCGCTTCCCCGGGAGGACCCCTGAGCCCCTCCTGGAGCCCCAAACCCACACTCACACTAGCCAGTCCACAGCCAGGATCCAGGAGATGTCAACCGGCAGACCGACTGCCTCCAGGATGATGGCCAGGGTGAGGACGCCTCCAGCAGGGATGCCCGCGGCGCCCACGCTGGACGCTGTGGCAGTGACCCTGGGGGGCAGGGGGGAGAGGGGAGGTCAGGGAGGGGCCTCCCAGTGGGAGACGCTACCGCAGGAGCCCTGCTCCGCCAGCCCGTGTCCACTCTCAGGGGAGGGGTCAGCGGGCCAACCCACGCTCACAAGATGGTGATGATCTTCACGAAGTCCAAGGGGAGCTGCTTGTTCTGGGCGATGAACACCGCGGCCACACACTGGAAGAGCGCGGCTCCGTCCATGTTGACGGTGGCGCCGATGGGCAGGATGAAGCGGCAGATGTGCTTAGAGACGCCGTTCCTCTCCTCCACGCACTTCATCATCAGCGGTAAAGTGGCGGAGCTGCGGGGGACCACAGATCAGGCGCCCAG